TGCGGAGGACATCCGGTGAGAAGGTGAAAAAGACGCAACGGCAAATATCCCGTATCTCTGGCGCACTGAGTTCCCCAAGTTCACCTTTGTTACTCCACATGAGATGACGTTTTTACCCGTTTCTTCAAACCGTAACTTTTCCCAGCAGTCTGGGTTGGATAACGATGATGTTAAGGCCGAAGAATGAGGCTGGCCTGTCGGCTTAGCTGGTTGTGTCGTCCTTCCCCACATTACATCGGGGCAGGGGATCATTCAGGGGTCCCCCTGCCATCACCGTCCAGGTCATTGACAGCCACCGGGCCACCGCCTTGGGAGAGCTTCACCTGTGACAACCAACAAACAAAAACACAACCTTCATTTTTCCATCTATACATTTTCATCATTGTCGTCACTCCAGGATACGAGTGATGGGATTTAAATCTGCCGTGATCGGCAGCGCATTGGCAGCGCTTGCCGGTCTACACACGGCATCTGCAGCACAACCAAAAGCAGCCGAGCCCGTCCCAGCTCCCATGCGAGATCTAGTCTGGGGCAAACTCAATTTCCTCCATACGACAGACACCCACGGATGGCATGCTGGTCATCTTCAAGAAGGACAGTACTCGGGAGATTGGGGTGACTATGTCTCGTTTGCGCAACACATGCGGAAGAGGGCAGATGATCTTGGCGTCGACTTACTTCTCGTTGATACTGGTGACCGCGTCGAAGGGAATGGCTTATACGATGCTTCGGATCCAAAGGGGAAATATTACTACGATATCTACCGCGAACAAGATGTTGACATAATATGTACCGGAAACCACGAGCTATACCATGCTTCGACCGCCGATGCTGAGCACCGCTTCACCGTTCCTAACTTCAAGGACAGGTACATTGCCTCGAACCTCGACTACATCGTTCCCGAAACTGGGGAGAGAGTACCAATGGCACAACGTTACCGCAAATTTCGGACAAAGAATCAAAAGGTCAATGTCGTTGCGTTTGGATTCCTCTTCGATTTCACTGGTAATGACAAGAATACAATTGTTCAGCCAGTGCGTCAGACCATTCAGGAGCCGTGGTTCCAAAAGGCCATTCGGGAAGAGACCGATGTGTTTATCGTCATTGGACATGTTGGCGTTCAAATGCAAGAATTCAAGGATATCTTCAAAGCCATTCGCGCTGAGAATCCAGTTACCCCTATCCTTTTCTTCGGTGGGCACGTTCACATCAGAGACGCCACCGCTTACGACGACCGATCGTTTGCAATTGCCAGCGGACGGTATTTTGAAACAATCGGATGGATGTCTGTCGACGGTGTGGTTAAAAAGGTCGAAGCACCTACGGCTGAATCACCTTTATCCTTCCATCGCCGGTACATTGACAACAACCTGCTCGGCCTGTACCATCATACAGGTCTTAACTCCAAAACTTTCCCAACCGAACACGGCCGAAATGTCTCGGCCATGATCACGAAGGCTCGCAAAGAGCTTGAACTAGATTACACATTCGGTTGTGCACCTAAGGATTATTGGATGACTCGGGCTCCATATCCAAGCGAGGACAGCATTTACACTCTGCTCCAGCAAGAAGTGATACCAGACATTGCCGTCAAGCCCAGCCGGAAAGACGTGCCTCGTCTGGTCATTGCAAACACCGGCGCTATTCGATTTGATATCTTCAAGGGAGCATTCACAAGAGATACCACATACATCGTCTCTCCCTTCCTGAGCGTCTTGAGCTTCATCCCAGACGTCCCATATCCCATCGCCAAGAAGGTGATCAAAATGCTGAATGGTGCTGGGAAAATCATGCAAGCAGAAACCCATCTTGATACCCGCTTCATGGGTATTCCCGAACAATGGGCTCTTAATGAGTCGATTATTTACAAGAACCCCGGCCCTGTCATCCACGATGGCGTGCAGAAGCCGTTGGACGGTCTGAGTGAGAAGCCTCGTCTTACTGAGGGTTACACTACAAGAGACGATATCGGTGATGATGGCGACGATTCAATTCATGCCAACATCAATTTTTACCTTGTCCCTAACTGTATTCAGACCGAACTATCATTTTATTCTGGAGGAGAACCTGACACTGTCGATTTGGTGTTTTTAGATTTTATTCAGCCGTTTGTGCTGATGGCTCTAAAGTTGCTGGGCGGTCGCTATGGCAATGAACATGTGCAATCATACGTGGAGGGCACATTTACCGACCTTTGGGCGGAATGGATAAAGAAGAACTGGTCAGCAAAGTGCTGAGACGTATAATTTGTTTTAACAAGAGGCGGGTGTACATTTATAATGGATTGCCCTTGGCGTTTGAAATATTTGGGTGGCTTACTGGATGGATATGCCGGATCATACATATACTACGCATGGAGCGCGCGTTCGCATTTTATAATTAACTGGACAACATAGCATGATTAGAACTCGATAGTTGAGCAAGTAAATTGTAATAATGTTTCTCTCCCTTTACACGCCACTGAACGCCGAGCTTAGCCGTGAAAATGCTACAAAAACAAAAACAAAAACAAAAACAAAAACAAAAACAAAAACAAAAAGGATGATGTCCCACCAAATTCACTATAACTGATCCAACAACATTCTCCTCCGCCGCTCGATAAGCTCCCGTTCGACCTCATCCGTTGTCGGAAGTTCCCATATCGTCCCGTCTCCCACATCTCCAGGCAACGGTTCCCATCCAGGTGGCGTCTCAGCCGGCCCCGCCTTTGCAAGAGCCTCAAAAGCTTCCGTCTCCTTGACCTTTTCGTACTCGAGCAACAAATCATCCTCCTCATCCGGCGCATACCCATAATAGCAAGCATCCACTTGCCTTTTCAAATCCACCCGCTCATCCAACGGCTTTTCATTTTCTTCTTGTCTCGCCTTGGCCGCAGCTTCAAACAGTTCCTTGACTCCGGGTAACTCTTTTGCTCGCCCAAAGTATCTATACCCTTTTCCCCCGCCAGGTATTTCCCTTCCTGATTCATCATATATTTTGCCCCCTCCGGCTCGCATGTAATTCGGACCTCCCAAATTGCGGATTTGAATCTCCCACATGTGTTTTTCCCGCATGAGCTTGTTGATCTCGTCGTTTAGGTCTCTGATCTGAAAATCGGAGAGTGATGGGTCCTGGATTCGGGAGACTTTGCGCGAGATTTCCTTGAGGACTTGACCGCGCCATTTCTCGCAGTTGGGGATGGAGTCTTGCTCTGTTATCGCTCGGGGTCGGCGGGCGCGGCCAACGTCGATTATTCCTAGGTCGGCTGCTTGGGCTTCGCGGAAGCGAAAGAGCATGGATTGGGCTTTTTCTGAGTTGCGCGCCTGGGGATCATTTTGTCAGTATTTTTTGGTTTATTGGGAAGAAGAATGAATTGTGTTTTCTTTACCATTTTGAAATAATGGGCTTTGTGGCCGGTCTATTTGTGACTATTGTCGCGAGAAAGGAATGTCTTGAGAGTGTGGAATTGGGGAGTTGGCGACGGCTTCGAAAATCTTACAGGCGGGCGTGCAGCCTGGCAATGATGTCTGGAAATTTATTTACAGCCTTGCTGGCCGTTGGGAGTTTGCAGGAAGTGACGGGAGCTTGCTGCTGTGGCGCTGTGGCCCAAGCTTTCACAGGGGGTGCTTTGCAATTGCGGGGGCCTGGGGTTATTTCTTGGTGACGCGCGCAGTGATCACGTTTCCCCAACTCTTCCCCCCACACGCAACCACGATTCCGAACTTTGCTTCACCCGCCAGTACGAGTGGGTTGATTATCAGATGTGATGGTCAGTTACTTGACTCTTGATCTGGAATCCTGTATTCAAGGTTCCAAGATCGTTATTGTCCGCCAATGGTTTGCAAGTCTTCTTTCCACCCCTCCCATCCTCTTTCATCAGATGGTTCAAGATAGGAGACATCCTTTCACATCTTTCTCCTTTATTTCCATACTTTCTCTGCTTTCACCGACACTAGAGAGCGAAATTGTACTTCTAGCTCTATCATTGAACTTGGTGTTGAGCAGAATCACAATCTCCCTCACAACGTAATATGTGGCCATGACATCAAGTGATGTTGAACCCCTATTCTCCCACCCTCATTCTTGTCCCAGCAACATGTCCACCCTCCTGCCATGAGGAAACATTCGGCCCCAGAGCTATAGCCCTCCCACTCAACTCAACCAGTCCTCTGTCACATTTAAACTCTAAATGTTGTCAGGTTCGGGACGAGGATGAGGATGCGAGTCTAAGAACGGATATCTGAGCAGTATTATACAGTACCAACCCTCGACACATATACTGAACGACATATACCAAGCCCTACATATCTCCTCGTCACTCCCCTTACCTACCTCGGTCCCCTACAACATCATTGAAACCCTTCTTAGTCTCAAAGCCAAGCGGCAATATAATCATTCTCCTTGCCGCTATGACGAGAATAGCAACGCCAGAGGTGCGCCCACGGCCAGTCTTCCTGAACCTGCTCTCCTTTCAACAAGCGCGGATCTTTGGAACCAGCTGTTGTTAGCCGGAACGGCCAGAGAGGACTCCGTGAAGAGCAGCACCAGTGATGGTCAAAATATAGTTTTCAATCGGAGCGCAGGAAAGTGATCATTGTCATTTGGCATTGGACATCACAAGATGAGTGTTGAAGTGATATATTATTATTCACAGAACGACAACCGGTAGTTAGCTCAAGGCAAGGGAGGACTGTGGGATATCTATCCATCTTATTCTCGCCATCTACGTTATATCATGTATTCATATCTCCGACCCCCTCTTGTCCTTTTTCTTTTTTCTTTCCTTCAGTCCTGTTGTGTAAGAGGAGAGAGAGGTCACCGAATCAGACAAGAAAATGAAAACCCTGTGATGAGCATTATGTGCACTAAGCCAGATTTGCAGGCAACAGATGGTCTTCGAGTCCTGTTACAACAGGTTCGATTCAGTCGTGTTGTCAGTGAGAACCGAAGAGAGCTAATCTGAGGGTTGTTTTGTTGTCTTGTCCGGTTGTCATCAACAAAAAAAAGAGAGAGAGAAAAATTGCCCGCTCCAGGATTCGAACCTGGGATGTTTGCACAAAGCCTCTGTTCACCCCATCACGCTCTCTTGGAGGGCCTCTTTCCAATACCATCCAGAGGAGAGCGCCCTGTATCCCCCGATAAACACTTAGGAGTGTGGACGATGGGTCGATCGCGAGGGACTGTAGTTGCAACGCGTTAAACCACTGCGCCAAACGGGCTGGTTAATTTTTTGTTCTGTTGTAGTTGGGTACCGGAGAGCTGCCCTATATTGGGCCAATCGACGGCGAGGGTGATGACGTACGGACATTGCTGTTGAGTGATGGAGGAAGGAACGACGGCATTTAGTTGGATCCCGCCTCATGCCACATGCTGCAGTGCATGACCACATGAAGGCAACAGAGTGAACATGTACAAGGAGAAACATACATGGAACAAGTGCATTGGGGTCCAAGGAAGTTCATGGAGAAGAGGGAAGCCTGACATGGAAGTTGACCTGGTTGAGAGGTTGAACCTTTGAATCCTTTTTTTCCTTTTTGTGCCAGTGCTTAAAGAAGTAATACTTTATGGGAGCTCCAGAATTCCAGGATCTACAGGGTTAGTCACACATTTACCGTTTAATTTATCTGCATCTATTCCATTCATTGACACTGTTCAGTGATTAGATCTCAATGTACATGGCCAGGTTTAGACAACTAAGGGAAATAAACCTTGCCTTGAATGAAATATCAAACAGTCCAAGGTTCAAGACAGAACAACCGGTAGAAGATGAATGAGCAAAAGTATGCCCAGCCGAGATTTTGTATACGATGTCAGTCTGCAATGAACTTTTCGGTTATATAGAATCAGTCTGGTAGTTCCAACAAGATAAATTCCCACAATTTTGTTATGGAGTAGGGTATGTATATTTACATATTTCATCAATGTAACATCAAACCTCAACGTTCTCCCGCTGCACCTTAACCGGCTGGCTCTCTAAGATGTTGTTGAGGAGAACCCCGGGTGTCTTTTTATACATGGAAAGAGGGGTTTGGACAAAAACTGCAACGGCCTCGATCTTCGTTCAGCCCTCGTCAGGTAGGTACACAGACAGACAGACACAATGGAAAGAAAGAAAGACGGAAAGGATGAACAGAGAAAAAAAAAGAATTTGCCCGCTCCAGGATTCGAACCTGGGACCTTTGCACTGAGACCCCTTATTGACAAACCCGCAAATCCCCTGGAGGGATACCAGGCCGCTGCCGCCGCGCTACTAAGAGCTATCGTCGCAGACGTTGACGGCAGAGTCAATAGATCTTCAGATTGCAACGCGTTGAGCCACTGCGCCAAGCGGGCTGGAAAGGATGTTTTAATTTTGTTGTTGGGAAAGAGAGTAAAGCAAAGGTTATGTATGGAAGGGGAAGGGAGGAGCGGTAGGGGAGGGGATGGATAGGAGTGGGAGGGAGAGACAGGAGGCAGGAGCAGGCAGGGGGAGAGGGGCTGCCCGGACAGACTGGGAGAAGCAGGGAGAATATAACTCTGGAAGGAACGATAAAACAAGCGCGCAGGCAGTTCACTTTTAATATGGGCAGCTTGAACATTAAGAAAGGTACTTATGTATACTAGTTTGATCATGGACATGGTGTTGGGGAGGGGGGGAAAGAATAGAAAAAAAGGAGAGAGAAACTAAATACTTGCCTACTCCAGGATTCGAACCTGGGATCTTTGCATTCTTGTGACCTATCGACACTTCCTGCAAATCCCCTGGAGGGAACCGGCCTATCCTTCAGCCACTCCAGACGTCACCTTCTATGGTGAATTTGGCATGGGCGACAAGTAGATTTCCTGGCCACCGCCGTCGTGCTACAAACGCTATCCTAGCGATGGTTGTCAGGTAAGTTCGATGTACAAGTGCAACGCGTTACCACTGCGCCAAGCAGGCTGAGCTTTTATTTGTCGTTGGTAGATACAGTAAACCGGTACATATAGCAGCTGGTTGCTGGTACGGTTCAAGGCTAAGGGAGAGGTACCAATAAATGTGCTGAGGTGGTTCCTTAAGTCTATGATGGCATGATACAAACGAGAGAACAGAGCAAACAAACACATGCATATGCAACAAACAGCCCAGTGTTTTATTATGATACTGCAATTCACTTGGTTTGTAAACTCTTGGACATGGCTTCCGCCACACCCAGAAGCCGGGCATCATCCCAATACTGCCCAATCAACTGAAGCCCAGCAGTCTTTGTTCCATCTTCAGAAGCCACAGGCATCGGTATACTAATAGCCGGCAACCCAGCCAGGCTTGCTGGCACAGTAAACACATCATTCATGTAAGAGTCCACAGACTTCTGGTCCACCACATCCGCCAGCTTGGGAGCCAACGTTGGAGCCGTAGGGCAAAGCAAAAAGTCAACTTCCTCTGGACCCCATTTGTCCTCCATCTCGATGTTGTCAGGCAAATCGCTAAGCTCAAACGTCTCGCTCTCCTGTAGAGGATTTTCAAGCGCAAACACTCTGTTAAAGTCCCGACGGACAAGCCGGCGCACCTTTTGTGCCTTGATGAAGTAGTTGTCCATAGCCTCTGAGCTCAAGGTGTATGAACCTAGCAGGATACGCCTCTTGACTTCCTCACCGAACCCCTTTCCGCGGGTTGCAGCGTAGAGCACACCACCCGCAGCGTCACTTGATGCTTCCTCGTTCCTCTTGCCATACCGCACGCCGTCGTATTTTGCTAGATTTGATGATGCTTCTGCTGGAGCAATAACATAATATGCTGCCAGAGCTTGTTTAGTTGTTGGTAGGGAAACTGGCACGATTTTGGCGCCGAATTTCTGTTCTAGTCGTTCTGCTGCCGCTGCCCAAGCGTCTCGTATCCTTGGATCAAGCTCCTCAATGTTATATTCGAGTGGGACACCGAACTTGAGGCCGTTTAGTCGGGTTTGGTCCCATTCTTTGTTATATCCTTCCCTCTGTTTGGCGCATCGTAACCTTGCGGACAGGCTCAAACTCGTTGGATCCTTGGAGTCATGGTACTTCCATAGTGCGATCTCTTCCGCTGATTCTGTAGAGTTAAATCCGGCTATGAGCTCCCTGATTGGTTTGACTTGTCTGCTCAAGAACCCCACAGTGTCAAGACTGTTGGCGTATGGAATGACCCCGTAGCGCGATATCATGCCGTATGACGGCTTGTATCCTGCTACGCCGGTATATGCTGCTGGAAGGCGAACAGATCCACCCGTGTCGGTGCCCAGGGCAAGGTCAACTTCCTTGTTGGCTACTGCTACCGCGCTGCCGCCTGAGCTGCCACCTGCTGATATAGGGTCCTTAAGGGAGGAATCTTGTGAAACAGGACCAAAGGCAGAGTGCGTGCTGTGGCTGCCCATACCAAATTCGTCGAGGTTGGTCTTGCCGGTGATATTGGCGCCTAGACTACGGAGCTGAGTAACAATTGTTGCTTCAATTGGAGAGGTGTAGTTGGAAAGAATGTCAGAGGCGCATGTTGTTGGGAAGGGGGAGGTAGTGGCTATGTTGTCTTTCACTGCGAGCGTGAATTGACTCGTTTTGGGTATTATTGGGTCGGCTGAGGAGGGGGATTTGGATATGAAGTGGTTGAGTAACCGTCGTTGATGATGCTGTCGGAGGGTCGCATGGTGTAGGCTCGGGCTGCTACCCCTGAGCCTGGCTCGTGCAATCATGTAGATAACTCGATGCTATCGTCTCATCCCAATAGAAAGGAATTGGATTGTCTGTGGTGTCAAATTGTTGCTATTTGAAAGGTGTTCAAGCTTCATTGGATTGGATAGAAGACGGTTCGTGATGAACGAGGTAGAACGATAAGAGAACGATAAGGGTTAGGGTGCTTGGCTGCAATGCAATGCAGCCCCTCATGCCCTGGTCTCATGATTATCAATCATGCACCTTCCAGACTTTCACAAGCAAGACCGGCTTTCTTTCAAATCATTCAAGCTTTTTAGCTGTCTGAAGCTCCTTCAATATGTCGTCACCAAATCGTCTTGGCCTATTCCAAATGCCATCCCAAGTCATACCAGTGACTACATGAGCAGCCGAGGTCCATTTTGTCAGTTGATTCTCAATACCACTCATGATCATATAATCCCAGTCAAATACGCGCACATCAACCTCGTAGCGACGACAACACCCACCTCTTTGGCCCCTCTTCAAAGTTCCAGAAGTTCCCCCAAGTTTCCACTGCCGAGGCGCATCCAAAAAAAGAGCAAAGTGAAATGCTGAAAACGTCTGCATCATCAGTCATACCATCCCAGTATTTGAAAAATTATTTTGCAAGCCTTGTAAGTGTGAGGATGCATTCGCTTGTATGTAAATTGTATTAAATTCTCTCTTCCTCCCATCCAGAAGTCACATCATCATCATCATTGTTGCCAACGTCGCTTACTAAGAACAACCACCACCACCACCACCACCACAACTACTCATACAAAACCACTTACATCTTCATTCCTCCCACAACGTCATAAAAAGTCTTGGATCACTACACTTCTACTTGTATCATCCATAACAACAGCAATCATCTACCAAAACCAGCAACAACAATCCAACATGTCATCCACACTCGTACCCTCCAACCCGGAAGACGTCATGGTCATCCGCGACATAACCCCAAACGTCGTGACCTTTTCCGTCCCATTCCTCCGCTTCGGCTGCATTCCAATCGGCGGCCGTGGAACAGTAGTCAAGCTCTCATCAGGCTCCATCGCCGTATTCTCCCCGGTGGCCTTGACTGCCTCCGCCAAAGCCAAGATCGCCTCGTTAGGAAACGATGTGCGCTACCTCGTCGCCACAGACATTGAGCACCACATCTTTTTGTCCGAGTGGAAAACCGCTTATCCCAATGCCAAGCTCATTGGACCTGAGGGCCTCCAAGAGAAGCGCGCCAAAGTCACGGATGATCCCCGGATTGGTCACGAGGAATTTGCAGTAGTTTTTACCAAGGAGAACAAGTTGACTCTGAAAGTGGACAAGGACTTTGACAGGGATTTTGAGTATGAGTATGTGGACGGCCACGCGAATAAGGAGCTTGTGTTTCATTATAAGCCGGATCGGGTGTTGATTGAGGCGGATTTGATGTTTAACCTGCCTGCGATTGAACAGTACTCCAAGGTGCCTGAGAAGGAGAAGCCGAAGCCTGGATTTCTGGGGAATTTCATGATGGGGCTGCAAAGTACACAGGGAGATGCAAAGGGCATGAAGAGGTTCATGTGGTATGTGGCTAGTAAGGATAGGGCGAGTTTCAATGAGAGCGTGAAGAGGATTGATGCGTGGGGATTTGACAACATTGTGCCTTGTCATGGAGAAACAATTGTGGGAGGGGGAAAGGAGGTGTTTGAAAAGGTGTTTGAGTGGCACTTGACTGGGAAGAAATGAAGGGGATGTTTTTTTGGCTGCGCAGATGGGTTGATGGGTTTGAGGGATGGAATTTTGTATAGTTTGAATTATTGACTCCTTGGCCGGCGTTTGGATACCTATTTTATATTTGATATAATCTCTAATTAGGCTGGGCTATGCGGCAGAGGCTTGTTCGTGGTGTATCGTATGTCGTTTAGTATTTATCTACACTACCATGTCTTTTAATATCACACAATTTAAGATTCTGTATTTTTTGAACAGATTCCTTTCGCCATCATATACCAATATTATCAAACAGGATTTCCATATTCTCACATAAATGTTCCAAAATATTTCCAAGAGTTTAAAGAACGAGTGGTTGGGGGGAAACGAGGCTTGGGAAAACGCCACAATAACATCAATCCAATCATGCCGATTTAATCCTATTCATGCAGCTACATACATAATTTTCTCCCCTTCCCGAACAAGTGCATGATGGCTTCGAGAATACCATATATAATCGCAACATTTCTATATGTTTTTGTAGATACATGTTATTAGAGCGTGGTGTGGGATTAACTATAAACTACAAATAATAGCGGAGTTTGAGAAGGAATGTGTTAGTGATAACTGTTAGAAACAGGATGAAAACAGTGTAGCTCACTTGATCATGTGGATATCTAAGGGCGTTGAGATGGTAGTTAATGTATTTTTACATTCGGTGGGTATATTCCTTTACAACATGGTTGTCGACGAGGTTGTCGACGATAAAGAAGAAGAAGAAGAAGTTGATAATGCGGTGGTGGAAGAGAGAATGTCATTGACTGCGGCGTGTATGACTTTCTTGACGAAGAGAGCATTCTGAGGACTTTGAGTGGTATAAATACCACTGGCTGTTGTGGTGGCTGGGGTGGATGAAGGCTGCATTGTTTGTTTTTCTGTAGTTGAAATGTTGGATAGCTCTCCCAAGAGGAGATTCCTGTAAGAGA